TAATCAAAATGAAATATATTTTCGATTACAACTATTTTTTTTCTCTTTTTTACTATTTTAATTATTAAACAATTATACATTTCATTTAATTGTATAATTTTTAATGTTATAAAATGATTTTATAATAAACAAATTTTTGTACAATTTAGAATCTGAATCGTCATTTTTTTATTCTTAAGACATTTCTATCATCATTGGATTGTGTAATTTAATTTGCCTTTAATTTTCAATTGGTTTATTGAGATAATATTTATACTAGTGTATCATTAATTTTATCAAAATCTTTAAGGGTAGTTTAAAACAAGTTTCTTTTAAATATTTTAAATATTCCATTCTTAAAACAAACTTTATTCAAAATTTCGACCATCAACAATTTCTAAGTGCTACTTAGAATTAAAAATATATCCAGTGTATGTTAATAATGATATTAATAATGTTTATCTTTATTTTTATTCAATCTTTGAAATAACATAGGAAATTGTTAATTGAATAAAATAGCATCATATCTTTAATGGAACACTAAGTATAATTCGAAAAGTATATCAAAAAGCCTAATTATATTGGATCAAAAAAGCTTGTTTTACAATTTTACATTAGTTATTCAAGTGGAATACTTTATTCTTAATTATGATGTTTTTCTAAAAATAACTTCTTCCAATTGAAAATATAATCCCTCTAACAACTATTAAACATTAGATTGCTGAATTCTCTAGAACATTTTAATTCTCAAAAACAAGGTAATTTACAAAATATATTTTTGATGTTCTCATATTATTAGATATCTTACATAAATTATACCTTGTTTTTCTTAGATAATTGTTAATATTATTTAACTTTTAGTTTTCATTTCCACCAATCTTCAAAACGCCATCATATATTAATAATTTTTTTTTTTAAATATTTATTTAAGTTTTTGTTAATCGAACCATACGAAAATTTTTCCTATCTAAAATAGATTTTATGCTTGTAAAGTAAAAACCAAATCCAAGTATATTGAAAATACGATATGAAAATCATTTTTGTTCACAATGTAATAGTTTTTAATTATTTTATGCTATCTCTTTACAAACAAAATTGTGGTTTGTTCATTCTAGTTATAATTATACTATTCACCCATTTCAAAAATATGTACATAATTATCCATATGATAAAAAGTAAAAACTTGCATCAAATAATCAATGAATAGATCTTTCCTTAATTCTTGCTTTTCTATAAATATAACTTACGTTAACAGAATTTATGTTAATACTCCTTTTTCTATTAATTATTACTCTCATTATTTATTTTATACATTTTTATGTCATCTTGCACTATAGCATCTACTGGAATTGAAGGTTTAATGACATAGTTAAGTACTTGTAGCTTATAAAACACATTTAGATCATAGTAATTAGCATTAAAGGGATAAAAATGTGCTTGGTAATATAATTATTAAAATCTAGACGTGATACTAATCAATTTGATTCTGGTGTAAAATATAATACTTTTCTTATCTTCTGCTGTTGTCAGAAGAGTTAGTAATTTATGTTGTTCTTCTAGATAAAGTTCATATTAAGACCATAGAGAACAATAATGTATCACTGATAGTAGTAGCAATATATTTATATGGAATACAATTCTAACTACCCGCATTGTAAATTCCAGATCTTGTTTATTAATGAGTGGATATGCTTAAACAAAAGTTAATAAAATTCAGTTACTGATTAAATTATATTTATTTTTTTTAGAATAGTTATATGTTAATTGCTCTTCATTCTTATGAGGATTACATATTTTAACTAGGCTATAAATATAAAAATTATAATACTGGGTTATTTTCATGATCTGTTAATCTAGAAGTCACTGATCGGAATACATAGCTTAGTGATTGTACGAGTGATGGAAGTTGATGCATTAATAAAACATTTACTAACCATGGATCAAATGTTACTACTTTTAATAAATCTACTTTCTCAACTTTACTTAGTGAATACACGAATGAGGGATCTACAGATTGTAAAATTGTTAGGACTTGCACTAATTATGAAAATAA